TTTAAATCAAATCAAATAACAAACACTCGTAAATGTGATGTCAATTAAGGTTCTGTCCGACATGGTTCAGGCAACAAGTTACTCACATGATCCAAATTTATATCAATCATTAGATATATTAAAATAAAAATAGAGAGGATGAAGGTGTAAGATAACATGATGCAGTGTAAATATAATATTAAAAAATAACATTATATGAAACATGATGGAACAATTAATCTTAAAGTGTTGGATATAATAATAACAAAATAAGTGGATATGAATCCTTACTTAGAACATGATTTAGTGGTTAAATATATAATTGTATATTCCCCTCATAAACTTGATAACCACCACCCTCTCCCACCACTACCACCCCATCACTGCCATTTTCCACAACAACTCACTCACTAAATGCTGCTTCATCATCATCTTTTAGACAATAAAAGTTTTTCAGGAGTTTTGTTAAAGTCCTCTTTAATATATATTTTTTAATTCACTTTTAATTATATATTAAAAATTATTAAAAATTAAAAATTAAAATAAAATCGCTAATTAAATTAAATTAAATTATGAATAAAATCACATTTTTGTTGTTGTTTTTAATAAATTTAAATGAATAACTAAGAACTTATTAAGATGAGTGTAGTGAAATATCAGCAACACATTTTTATCATACTTGTTTAACAAACTTATTCACAAAAATTTATTAAAAATTATGTGAATATTATTTTTAATTTAATAATATTTTTTTATTCTTATAATTTTTAATTAATAATAATAAAAAATGTATTAAAATAATGGCGTTGAAGTCCTGACACTCTTTGGGTGAAGTGTGATATTATTAATTTGGATTAGTTGCGTGGCTGTTCTTTTGTGGCATCCTAGACTTCCTGCTTCCACTTTAATAATACTAAATTTTACACGAGTTTGTAAAATATAATATTCTTTTTATATTATTAATTATTTATATTATAATAATTGTAATATATTTAAATAAATAAATGATAATTAATTTTTAAGATATGTCAAAAGGTACATAACCCGAAGAAGTGAAATTTCGTTCACATTAAGAATGAAACTTCCATATTTATAATCTTTAATAACTTTTTATAAAATATTAAATTTATTAATCTAATTATTAATTTATAATTTTATAAAAAATAAAGTTAATAAATAATTTATTATATTATAATATAAATAATATTATCTTGTTAGATAATATATTTATAAAATATTTAATTTATATAACCGTGAATATAATTTTATATTATTTAATAATTGAACTGATGAATTTTATATTTTATAAAAAAATTATTAAATTCTGTAACTTTTAAATTTGAAACATAGTATTAATAGATTTTGATTGAATAAAAAATTTATAAATGATAATATTCTATTAAATGTTATAACACTATTAAGTCTATTATGTGAACTTCTACATTGAATCATGCAATTTTTGTAAAATTTTATTACATATAAAAACTCCCATCCACCCATCAGCTATGTCATTCATCCATCCCCACAAAAAACCCCTAAACACATGTCAGTTTCTAGATTCTTCAAATTCTCCTAATTTGTACGACCCAACCTCCCCCTTCTCCCATGCACGTGCCTATCACGTGGGGTTGAAGAATTTTTAATAAATTATTTTATAAATTTAAGTTATAAAATTAAGTTTTTAATAAAATCAACATTTTTTTTAAATAAGATTGCTTTCACTAAAAATAATTTTGAAGTTTAAACTCAAAAGAATGATAAAAAATATAGTTTTACTTCTATCTCATTTTATTATAAAATATACAAAACTATATTAAATAAAATGTATTTCAATATTATTTTATTAAGAATTATAGGAAAATAATTATACCAAAATAAAATATATTGAATAATTATCATGTTAATATGTATTTTTATTTAATTATGTAGAATAAATAAAATAATACGTTTAATTTTTTAAAAAAAAATTGTGACAGTTCCATACTAAATAAAGTAAAGTTATAAAATATTCATTTATTTTATTTTTATATTAAATTTTATAAATTAATCTATTTAATAAAAATATTCAGAGCAGCAACGACAGAATTAAGTAATGCACTTTACTTACAACAAATTCTGACTCTCTATGATTGTACAGTTACCTTTTTTTATATATTTAAAAACTTAATTTTATAATTTTATATTTTATTCACAAAATCGAACAACTTGGCTCTTTTATTGATACTAACGTATCAATTTTTTAAAATCTATAAACAGTAAATTTAATATCAACCCTTTCCAATAGTAAATCTGTTCATCATTATTCAACAAACATTATAAAGATCAAGTTGCAACGCTAAGATTAAATTTTTAAGAAAATATATGAAACTAATTTGAAATTTTGGAGAAAAATATCTAATTCCAGTTCATTCTTCACACCCCACGCATTCCTCACAAAATATTAAAATAATGTTTGATGATAAAAATGTCTAATATTGATAGGATGATAATAAACTAAAGGATATATAAGTATTGGGTTTTAAATTATTAAATATTATTTTTATTAAAAATTATACGATTTAATATTATGATTTTTTGAAAATTTTAATAAATACTTACTAGCTGAACATATTTATTATATGTTCTTAACTGCATACTAAAAAAATTAAAGTTTAAATTACTTTAAACATTTGAAACAAATAAACGATTTGAAATTTATTTCTTTAATCTTAGATCGGATCACGGTTCAAATTCTAATAAATAACTCATCTAACTTGAAACTAAAATATGAATGACTTCACTTCGAAAATGGAATTAAAACCAAAATAATTATGATGGATACGTGAGCAGTGACGACACAGAATTCCTATATATGTGAACCTTTTTCATTAGTTAATCTTCGTTTCAAGTTTTTGAAATTATATTTGTTAAGTGCTTTTATTTCTAAACGCTAAAAAAGGTTTACTTTATTTCTTAGTTTTACAAAATTTCATTTTTATTGTTATTTTATATTAAAATTTAAATTTATAATATTGTTCACACGAGACATTAATTTTATTCGAAATCAAGAAAATTAGTATCAATATTAAAATTATATTTATCAAGGTTTTAGCAAAATTTTACTATGTTTGATGGTAATTAGGGCTAATGAGTTCGTGTTTTGTCCAACAGTTTCATTCGTACCCAGTACAATTATTCACATTCACTTTTTCTCTTTATACTTATATTTTAAGGGAAACAAGCAAATTAGCTTTTTGTCACTGTCAACATCTACTCATAATAATATGGCGTAAAGAGAAAAGAAAATAATTCTTAAAAAGATTTATCTGAAAATGAGAATTGAAAGTTATCAATCAAAATCAAAGATAGACTTATTTGATTAGTTAAATAATAGTTTAGAAAATGAATGAAAAGTAAAATAATAAGGAAATCAAGCCACGTTATTATAACAAAGATTTGGTGATCCCTAATAAATGTTCACATGTTTTTGTGCAGAAATCGATCGTGCGATGTACCGAAAGAATAATTGAACTTATATAAAAGAAGAAGAAGAAGAATTTAGCATACATAAAATATAAGCAAGCAATGTTCCTCTAAGTTCCAACTATCTTCACTTGCACACTCTGGTTTCAACATCCAGTTACGTTGTCTTCAGAATCAGCTTTTTCACAATACAAGGAGAAACAAACAAAACTTCAGCTTCTTTTCCAAAAGCGAAAAATTCCACTACAGCGCAGCATTTATTAACGTTTTGCCAAGAGACAAACGCGTCTAAATTAAGGTTAAAGAGTAAGCTGGCCTTCAACTTTTGCCTCCCATTTGAATTTACTATGCTTTTTTCTTCTTTTCTGCATGCACTGTTACTATTTTTATCAATAAAATGTTCAAATAGTTTTAAGCATTTAAAAGTACTAATATTTTATTAAAAATATTAAATATTTTTTTATTTTTAATACAATAAATATTTTTTAATTAAAAATATATTATTTTTGGATACTTAAAATTAACTTTAAATACTTGTATTAACAAAAATGCTTTTATTATGACATGTTTACTCAAGTTATTGTCTTGGTCTTAAATCTGTCGTTTGTTGAATTGCATGCACCACGAGAGCCAAAAAAAAGATAAGTTGATTTTAGATAAAAATTTGTGTAAGCAGTTTTAAAAGAAAAATAGAGAATATATGAATATTTTTTAAGTTAAAAATAAATTATTTCAATTTTTAGAAAAATCAAATAGCATGATGAATAAAAATTGAGATAAATTAATTAAATTTAACTTCATAAGTTTGATGCTTTTTAATTTTATCTCTTTAATTTTTTATAAATATTTATTGAAAATTTAGCTTAGTTATTAAAAAAGATGTAAAGTGGACATGAAATTTGAGGTGTAACAGAAATCAGGTGCATGTTGTTTTGTTCCTTTTCCAGATTCTCTCTCTTCTTCTTTCTAAAATTTGATTATACGAACAAAATGTTTCTGGGTGTCTTGTGATGAATCTGAGTACGTTATCGACACGTAACGATACAAGTTTTTTGGCGGTTTTTGCATGCAGTGAAAGCTCTGTAGTACTCACTTCACTGAAGCAGAGTTTTCTTGACACATTTGTTAACTGTTGAGCTTGCCACGTTCATCTTGTCCTGTGGGTGGTGACTGAATATTTGAATTTGACTTTACAAGCAATTGCTGTATACAGTTAACGAATATTGTTTGTAATTAATATGATTAAATTGTCACGTTCTGGAATATATACATTGTCATAATGTTATTACTATTTAAGTATGTTTTAGATAATCTCAATTTTTCTCCCTTAATGTCAGTTTATCATGATGTTTGGAAGTTGGCTTGTTTATTAACTAATGCTTAATGGTGGTTGTGTTTTGGGTTTTAATATTTTTCAAGTTTAAATGCAATTTTCTCATTAAAGACACGATTCTGATAGATTGTTACTGTTTATTATGTGAAGTTACAGAGTTGGAACGGTAAAGAGAAGCTATAAAGAAAATGGAGAATTTTTGGAGCAAGATTTGTGGGGATTCTGTTTGTTCTACGCCTTTCTGTCATGATTTCAAGTTTTTGAAAGATCCTTCAACATGCATCAACCATTTGTTGATCATTTGCTTTGATGTGTTGCTGCTGATCATGCTGTCATTTGTTATGATTCGGAAGTCTTCGTTGAGATTGTTTCGGGTGGCAAGTTATTCAAGCTTGCAGCTAGTTTCAGCTATAATCAGTGGCATTGTTGGGTTATTGCATTTGTGCTTAGGTATTTGGGTTTTAGAGGAGAAGTTAAGGAAAACCCACAATGCTTTTCCACTTAGTTGGTGGTTGCTTGAATTTTTTCAGGGATTCACATGGTTATTAGTAGGTTTGAATGTAAGTCTTCGGCTGAAACAACTTCCAAGAGCATGGCTGTGGCTGTTTAGTGTTCTTATATTCTTTGTTTCTGGTTTTCTCTGTGCTTTATCCATATTTTACACAATTAGTAGCAGAGAACTGTCCCTCAAGGCAGCTTTAGATGTTCTATCTCTTCCTGGAGCAATTTTTCTACTCTTATGCACATACAATGCGAGTAAATATGAAGACAATGATAAAGACATTGGTGAAAGTCTTTATGCCCCTTTAAGTGGCCAATTGAATGAAGTTGATCCTAGTAGCTATGTAACCCCATTTGCCAAAGCTGGATTGTTTAGTAGGATTTCATTTTGGTGGTTGAGTCCATTGATGAAAAGGGGTCAAGAGAAAACACTTCAGGATGAGGATGTCCCAAAGGTGCAGCACTCACATGGAGCAGAAAGTTGCTATTTTTCATTTGTAGATCAATTGAACAGGCAGAAACAAAAGGAACCGTTGTCACAGCCATCAGTTCTATGGGCAATAATTTTGTGCCATTGGAGAGAGATTTTGATATCAGGACTTTTTGCATTGCTCAAGGTACTCACTCTGTCTTCTGGTCCTTTACTACTGAATGCCTTTGTATTGGTCTCTGAGGGTAATGGAAGTTTCAAATATGAAGGATATGTATTGGCTATCTCACTTTTATTTACCAAGATCATAGAATCCATATCACAAAGGCAGTGGTACTTTCGTTGCAGAATTATTGGTATGAAAGTTAGGTCACAACTTACTGCAGCCATTTATAAAAAGCAACTGAGATTATCCACTGCTTCTAGATTGATTCACTCTGGTGGTGAGATAATGAATTATGTGACTGTAGATGCTTATAGGATTGGAGAATTTCCATTTTGGTTTCACCAGACGTGGACAACAGTTGTCCAACTATGTATTGCATTGGTAATTCTTTTTCGTGCAGTTGGGCTAGCAACATTTGCCTCATTGATTGTGATTGTTCTCACAGTGCTTTGCAATACTCCACTAGCAAAGTTACAGCATAAGTTTTTGACCAAGCTTTTGGTGGCACAGGATGAAAGATTGAAAGCTAGTTCTGAGGCTCTAGTGAATATGAAAGTGTTGAAGTTATATGCATGGGAAATCCATTTTAAGAATGCTATAGAAAGATTAAGAAATGTGGAACTCAAATGGTTATATTCAGTGCTATTACAAAAAGCATACAACATCATTCTCTTTTGGTCTTCGCCTATTTTGGTGTACGTTGCTTCCTTCGCGGCATGTTACTTCTTGAAAATTCCTTTACATGCAAATAACCTTTTTACTTTTGTGGCAACTTTACGCCTTGTGCAAGATCCGATTTCAATCATCCCGGACGTAATTGGGGTGATCATTCAAGCAAAAGTTGCATTTGCACGGATTGTAAAGTTCCTTGATGCACCGGAACTGCAGAGTGCTAATGTCAAGAAAAGTTGCTTTAATGAGAAGCTTAAGGGTTCAATTTTTATCAAATCTGCAGACTTTTCATGGGAATATAATGTATTGAAACCAACACTGAGAAACATAAATTTAGAGGTTAAACCTGGGCAAAAGATTGCTATTTGTGGAGAAGTTGGCTCAGGAAAATCAACTCTCTTGGCAGCAATTCTTGGAGAAGTTCCTAATACAAAAGGAAATGTAAGATTTTGTAACTTTTAGAAAACATTGCTAAAACTTGTGATTCTTTATTTGGTTATAACTGTAATGACCTTATTAATTTATTCAAGTAATCATGTGATTTAGTGCCTAAATTCAACTTATGGAGTGCACTTTTCTTGTCTTTCATATTAGCAGTGGTAATAATAGATGTCAACGTCTCTGTAATTTACAGATTACAGTTTATGGGAAGTTTGCTTATGTTTCTCAAACGGCATGGATACCAACAGGAACAATACAGGAAAATATTCTGTTTGGATCGTCTTTGGATGTTCAAAGGTATGAAGAGACACTTCATAGGTCTTCACTAGTGAAGGACCTTGAGTTGTTTCCCCAGGGTGATCTCACTGAAATAGGTGAGAGAGGAGTTAACCTGAGTGGAGGTCAGAAGCAGCGAATTCAACTTGCCCGTGCTCTTTATCAGGATGCTGATATATATATCTTGGATGATCCATTTAGTGCTGTTGATGCACATACAGCCACCAATTTGTTTAATGTAATGATTTCTTCCTTTCTTCGCAGATGCATTGGTATCTTCAGCATCATTCTTTACTGAAGTATATGGTTTTGAAACTTTGCAGGAATACATATTAGAAGGTCTTGCAGGGAAGACAGTGTTACTAGTGACTCATCAAGTTGACTTTCTCCCAGCATTTGATTCTGTTTTAGTAAATTCTTTCATCTTAAGACATTAGTTTATGTCTTGTTCTACCTTTCAATTTTTTTTCCTTCTTTATGTTACCAATAATTGTAATGAGTACCAAAATTTTAAGCTAAGATTTATGTTATGTTTAGTCTCATATTTCTTCTGGTTATTTATATTCTCAGAAGTATCTTCTTTCATTGTGTCATTTACCTTAATAGGCTTAAAAGTTAAAACTAAAGCATTTCTTTCAAATGATGTACTTGGTTTTTTCTCTTCTCCCTCCGTTTTTGTTCTGCCTACCTGTTGCTTAGCGAAAGAATGGTAGAAGCATCCTATCATTGAATGAGGTTTTCCTTATTTGACCTCTTGTTTCTGTTTTAATCTTTTGATCATTATTCATACAGTTTGGCTCAATGATAACTAATCATTTTTGTGCAATTATTTTCTAGTCATTAGTGCCAACTTGGACTTGCCATCTAAAATTCATTAATGAAAGGTTTATTTTTGTATACAGTTGATGTCAGATGGGAAAATCCTACAAGATGCTCCTTATCATCAATTACTGACCTTAAGCCAAGAATTTCGGGACCTTGTCAATGCTCACAAAGAGACTGCTGGTTCTAGTCAGCTTGCAGATGTTACTTCTCCCCAAATATCTTCAAATTCTGGTAGAGAGATCAGACAATCTCTTATAGAGAAGGAATTTAAAGCATTAAATGGTGATAAATTAATTAAGCAAGAAGAGAGAGAAACAGGAGACACAGGGTTGAAGCCTTATTTACAGTATCTGAATCACAACAGAGGTTATATATACTTCTGTGTGGCTTCTCTTTCTCACCTTTTGTTTGTGATATGTCAAATATTGCAAAACTCATGGATGGCTGCTAATGTTGAAAATCCCCAAGTTAGCACATTGAAATTGATTGTTGTTTACTTGCTGATTGGAGTTGGTTCTATAGTTTTCATGGTGATCAGAAGTCTTCTTGCAGTTGCTTTGGGACTTCAATCATCGAAATATTTATTTTCTCAGATGGTGAACTCCCTTTTCCATGCCCCTATGTCTTTTTATGACTGTACACCTTTGGGAAGGATACTTAGTAGGGTAAGCATATTCAATAATTTTTACCTTGCAATGGAATGGAATGAAAGTAGTTGTAATTTGATTGTTGTTTCTTTGTTTAGGTCTCATTAGATTTGAGCATTGTGGACCTTGATATACCCTTTGGCCTCACTTATGCTGTGGGAGCTACTATAAGTTGCTATGCTGATCTTACAGTTTTATCAGTCGTCACTTGGCAAGTCTTGTTTATCTCTATACCAATGGTGTATGTTGTAATCCGCTTGCAGGTAATGAACAGATTTATCTTTGAATTATGTTGCAAGAATGAAATCGTTCTTGCAACTTCAATCAATTTTCAGATGATAAAAACATCTTATAACTACATAATGATCATTCTTTGGAAGGAGAGGGGTACAGAAACTGACATTCTTTAACTCAGTCTCTAAAGTTTTATTATTTTGGTTACTTTGGTAATCATTTGGTTACACCTTATTAGATTTTGGTAACTTTTGGTAATCCTTCTTTAACTTGCTTTAACACTAGAATTTAAAATATTCTTGATTTGTAATGTGAACTAATTATTCAAAAATGTTAAATATAAACATTGAGGTGAGTTTCTCACCACATGCTGCAATTCAACTTTGTTTAAAATAACAAAATGAACTAGAATGGGAATGTTAGAGACAGAACTCTAGACCACATGTCACAAAGACTCTATAAAACCATGTTTTTGAAAATCTGAATGAGTTTCTGTTATTAGTGTTTATTCCTGTTTTACAAGTTTTGATTATAGGAATTATAGGTGTTAATGTGCTGTTACATAATGTATGGATAGTTTAATTTGTGATTTATTTTCATATTAATGGGTAGAATTAGAATCAATTTTGAGTTATGACTTTTGTGTATATAAATATTGTTAGTATGAATAAAAATGTGAGTTTTAACTTTCAAGTTCATAACCTTATAAATTTCTCTGAGCACCAACATTTGATAATTAGAACTTTATTTGTTATCGAGAGACCTGGTAAGGTTGAGAGTTCCACTAAACACCTAAACTCTTACATTGAAAATGTAATTTAATAACTCATCATAACACTACCAATTTTTTAGGGTAAGTATTATCACCCATAGACAATTAGAATAGAGGTTTTTCTTAATGCAAGTGACCTTTGGGAGACTATTGAGGAAGATTGTGAGGTTGGACAGTTACCAGAAAACCCAATGCTTAATCAAATCAAGTTTCATAAGGAAAGGAAATAGCAAAAATTGAAAGCAAAATCTTTCCTTTTTCTATTATTTCTCCAACAATCTTTACTAGAATTATGACTCTAAAATTGGCAAAGGCCATATGAGATTTTCTCATGCAAGAGTATGAAGAAAATGAGAAAGTCAAAGGGATGTAAGTGGTAAATTTGATCAGAGAGTTTGAGATGCAGCGGATGAAGGAGTAGAAAACAAAACAATGAAAGAATATTTTGACATACTTCTAAGCATTGTAAAAAAGTGAGGTTACTTGGAACTGAGTTTCCTTATACGAGAATTGTTCAAAAAATTATTGAGACTATTCCTAAGAGGTTTGAATCCACCTCTTTGGAAAATTCAAAAGATTTATCAATTATCACTTTAGCAGAATTCTTATATGCTTTGCAAGCCCAAGAACAAAGGAGACTCATGAGGGAGGAAAGTATGATTGAAGGTGCATTACATCCAAACTGAAACTTAGTCATGACTACAAAGAAAAAAAAAAGGCTCTAGGGAGAAACTTTGAGCAATGAGAGAGTTCTTAGAAAGGTAGTAAAAGAGAACATGAGAAGTCAAATCATCTTCCTTGTCAACACTGTGCAAAGAGGAATCATCCTTATTTCAAAGGCCTGACATACGCTATAACAAATACAACCAGTTTGGTTATATTGCAAAAATTTGTATGAACAAAAAGCAGCCTCAAATTAAGGCTCAAGGGGTTGATCAACTAAAAGAGGAGGAACAGTTATTTGTAGCAACCTGTTTTGCCACCGGCAACAATGGTGAAAGTTGATTAATTGATAGTGAATGCACACATCATATGACCTATGACGAAGAATTATTCAAAAAGTTGGATCGGACCACCGTTTCAAAAGTAAGAATTGACAATGGAGAATGCATAGTTATGAAAGGGAAGGATGTTATTGCAATTGAAATTTTCTCAAGTATAAAAATAATCACTTATGTGCTTTATGTACCTAATATTAATCAAAATTTGTTGAGTGTTGGCTAGTTGCTTGAAAAATGCTACAAAGTCTTATTTGAAAACAAAATGTGTTTGGTCAAAGATGAAAGTGGACATGATTTGTTTAAGGTCAAAATGAAAGGAAAAAAATTCTCTTTAGATCTTTTGGAGGAAGTGCAAATTGTTGTTTCAAGCTCTACTAATGTCACTAAACTTTGGCACAAGAGAATAAGTCATTTCAACCATGCTGCATTGCTAAACATAAAGAAGTATAATATTGTGAAAGGATTGTCATCATTGGAAGATCACTTAAGTAGTTGTAGTGCGTGCCAATATAGGAAGCAAATCAAGCTGCCATTTACACAAGTAACTTGGAGAGCTTCACAAAAACTATAGTTGATTCACACAAACCTTGGAGGACCTTGACCTTAATCTGAATTGCCTTTACAAGGGAGTAGATATTATATTGCCTTTATTGATAATTTTACAAGAATGCGCTAGATTTATTTTTTGAGATTCAAGTCTGAAGTTGCAAGAGCGTTTTGGAGGTTCAAGGCTTGGATTGAAAATCAAGATGGCTGTAAAATTCAAGTTCTAAGGCCCGATAATGGAAAAGAGTACACCTCAAAGCAATTTAATTCCTTCTGTGAAGAGACTTTAATTGAGCACCAACTTACTACTCCTTACACTCTGCAACAAAATAGAATAATAATAATAAAGATGACTAGATGCATAATACATGAGAAAGGACTTCCAAAAAAGTTATGGGCTAAAACTACAAATATAGTAGTATTTCTATTTAACAGACTTCCGACAAAAGTAGTGCAAGGAAAAACTCCTTATGAGCATGGTAATAACTACTCAGCAAGTGCATCGAATCGTTTAAGTAATAACCACGATATGTGGGTATCGTCCCATAAGGATTGATTTACCAAATAATACGTCACTAGTCCAATCTCTATTTAGACAATATCAACTATTTGGATTAAAGAAAGTTCTAAAATTATAATTAAAGCAAAACAAAGATTTATAACAAAACCAATATTGACTTCAACAAGTAAAGAGTGATCTCAAGATTCAAAACACTAGAAGTTAGGATGGTTGAAACTTTTCTTAATTCTTGTTGAATTTCTAAAACACTTGAATTGAAAATCTTAGATTAATAAAAGGATTTTAAGTGAATGGACCCCAATTCCTTGGTGAATCAATTCTTCTACTTGTGATAAAATATGACAATTCCTTGACTATATCTCAACACAAATATAAATTAAGCGCTAAATCAATCCACATATCACACAAAATTCAATAAATATTTCTAAACCTTGAAATTCATGTAGTTCATCATTTAAGCTAATTCATACACAATTTTCCTAAATCATGTAGGAACCCTAATCCAATCATCAATAACAACTCATAATCCTTGCATATAAAAATGAAAGATGAACAATTAATCCAAGAAATCCAATATCCAAACATTAGAAATCCAATCTCAATACATTCATCTCCGACCTAATCCTTTCCCCTAGCTATGAAATTTAGCAACTCATTCTATGAAGAACAAAGAAGAAAAGTGCAGAAAAATTCATAAAGAATCAAGAATTGGAAAGATAAATCTTCAATTTCTCCTCTTCCTCTTGTTCCCAATTGTTTCTCTAACTCCAAAGCTTCTTTCCCTCTGTTTTCTCTTGAGTCCTCCCTTGCTTAAATGTTGTTAGTATGAATAAAAATGTGAGTTTCAGCTTTCAAGTTCATAGTCTTCTAAATTTCTTAGTTCCAACACATGTGATGTAGATATAAGGGCTTTTTATTTTTGTAGAGACACTACTTTGCTGCTGCAAAAGAATTTATGCGGATGAATGGCACAACAAAATCCTTAGTAGCTAATCATGTAGCTGAAACTGTTGCTGGAGCAATGACAATAAGGGCTTTTGAGGAGCAAGATCGGTTTTTTGAGAAGAATCTCAATCTAATTGACACCAATGCAAGTCCTTTCTTCCATAGTTTTGCCTCAAACGAGTGGTTGATCCTACGGTTAGAAACAGTCTGTGCAATTATTCTTGCCTCCACAGCACTTTGCATGGTTGTGCTTCCACCTGGGACATTAACCTCTGGTGAGCCTTTATTTATTAGTACCGTTGAAATTTAGTTGTTAGGATCTTCTAGTAATCTTACAAATCGTATGCTTTTATCTTCAAATCAGACAATAGCAATATCTCTCTTATGCAAGCTTTTTACTTTTAATATCCCTTGTTTCCAGGATTTATTGGCATGGCCCTTTCTTATGGCCTTTCACTAAATGCTTCCTTAGTATATTCAATTCAAAGTCAATGCATTCTATCAAATCAAATAATATCCGTAGAGAGGCTAAATCAGTATATGCATATACCAAGTGAAGCCCAAGAGGTGATAGAAGGAAATCGTCCTTCAGATAATTGGCCAGTTGCAGGCAAAGTAGAATTACAAGATTTGAAGGTACTTGTTACTTATTTTAAAATTTGCATCATAGTGTTCAAGAATACAGGAACTATACTTAACTATGTAATTTTCTGGTTTATACCAAAACAGATTAGATACAGGCCTGAAGGGCCACTTGTACTGCATGGTATCACTTGCACATTTGAAGGAGGGCACAAGATTGGTATAGTTGGTAGGACAGGCAGTGGAAAGTCCACTCTTATAGGTGCTTTATTTCGTCTTGTGGAGCCTGCAGGAGGAAAAATTGTAGTTGATGGCATAGACATATCTTCTATTGGCCTTCATGATTTAAGATCACGTTTCGGTATTATACCTCAGGACCCTACCCTTTTCAATGGGACAGTTAGATATAATTTGGATCCTTTATCTCAACATTCTGATCAAGAGATATGGGAGGTAACACCTGATACAGTGCTTATCTTTGTTTTCATTGCAAATATGAACTGATTATAGTTTTTATTTGAAGGTTCTCGGCAAGTGTCAGTTGCGAGAAGCAGTCCAGGATAAAGAAGGTGGCTTAGACTCCTCAGGTACACTTCCAAGTTTCATGTTTCCTGCAACTTTTCTGCAAGCACTTTTTTCCTTATTACTAATGACTAGCAAAAAAATGTTGTTCAGTTGTTGAAGATGGATCAAACTGGAGCATTGGACAAAGGCAATTATTCTGTTTGGGCCGCGCCCTTTTGAGGAGAAGTAGGATACTGGTGCTGGATGAGGCAACTGCATCAATTGATAATGCAACTGATTTGATTCTGCAGAAAACAATTAGGACTGAGTTTGCAAATTGTACAGTAATCACTGTAGCCCATAGGATACCCACCGTGATGGACTGCACTATGGTTCTTGCCATCAGTGATGGTAAGTTGCATATCGAATATTCTTTACTCGTGATTGAACTACACTTTATCTGCCTAACCCATAACTGTTGCCATTACTTACTGTTAACTGTTAGCCTCGTAATGTTTTGATAAGAAAATGGACAAGTTAAGAGCACAAATACTGGTCCATCATATTATCCTGATAACAATTTCAATGAGCCATCTGGTTAGACACACACCAAGAGAAGTTTGTTATTGAGAAATGTGTCTGATTACACTTACCATATAAAATATTTGGCAGTTGATGCCGCAAGTTAACTATTGTCGTAAATAGAAGGCAAAGAAAACATTTTATCATTTACTTGTTTCTCTTTACTGAAATGTATGATTGTATTTATAGGAAAATTGGCGGAGTATGATGAGCCAATGAACCTGATGAAGAATGAAAAATCATTGTTTGGGCAGCTTGTAAAGGAATATTGGTCTCATTTTCAGTCTGCTGAATCACATTGAAGCTAAGAATGTTTTTCTATGCCAGCATCTTTTCTTCTTTCTTTGGTCCCAGAAAGAGCCAAGAATCCAACGACGTGTAATAAGAATTTATTTGTATTATAGAAAGGAGAAGTGGTTTGAAATAATATTTCTGTGTATTGCATTTGACCTAAAGGTCTGAATTTATACAAGTGTACAAGGATCTATATTAATGACAAAATATTATCTAAAATGTAATCCTAATATTACGTTCTTAGTTACTGAATTTACATAAACGTAATCCTGATGTTCCTAATTACCATATTTACATATCAACATATATAAATGTATTATGGTAAGAAATGAAAGAGAGAAATTGAAAAGAAAGTGCAAGAGGGTTCATATGTACCTGATTTGACTTGATAAATAAATAAAGATATATTCTTGAAATTCGACTTGATAAACAAGGGGCAATTTGTTTTTTACTAATAACTAAATTTCTGTTAAGAGCTAGTTATTGCCTTTAATGGATTCTGTTAGAGGGGGTAATGATTGAAAAGAGGTTATTTTGTGTATCATCTAAGTAACAAGCATATAAGGGGTCATTTGGCTGTGGACAAAGTTAGGTGGGATGTAGATGAAGTATCTGTCATGGAGAAAGGAAAATATGTAAAATGCTTGAGCTTGATAAGAAATTTCTTGCTATTTTCTGGCACAACCGAGATATGAAGACAAGTGACAGAGCAAGAGCAACATCAGCACAATCAAATGCCATAGAATCAGTTCCTCAAGCTTTCCAAGGTTCACAAGTAGCATCAATCCATACACAAGCTACAGAGGCAGCTGCACGCTTAAGCAAGTAGGTAAAAACAAAAACTAGTGTGTGGCACACAAGAATCTCAAATCATGAAATGACCGTAGTTTTACCATGGATTTCAGTATTGTTTAAGACAACATTTTGATTTACAGAATGTACTGGTTTATGAGACATTGTTCTGATTTTAGTTTGGTTTATGACACTGTTCTGGCTATGTATTGGATTTCAGTTTGGTTGAAGATATATTTCAATTTTATATATGACATTGCTCTGATTTTAGAATGACACAAGTGAAACTTATCAGCATCCATAAGTAGCATTACAATTTGGTTGAAGATTGACTAATTTGAGTTTAATATTTCCCAGATTTATAATCCAGTTTAGACATTCTGCAATATTGTTTACAAAACAAAAATGAGTTTGTTATGTTGGTCAAATCTTGGTGAGATAAAAGGTGCATTGGTGACATAATGCGCAGCTTGATCTGTATATATTTTTCACTAATGCACCACACTAGCATTTAAATCTTTATTTCTAACAAATTAGTACTTTCGAATAAATAAAATCATGAGCAAACACAAATTAGCTTTCCCCGGGAAAGGTTTCTGCTTGATGAATGACAAGTACAATAGGAAATCTGAGGGGTGTTTGGTTTGTCATTAAAAAATAAGAGTTCAAGTTCATGATAAAAGGACGAATAAGGACACAATCTTAACATTCTTAAGATTTCCTTTATTAATCATCCATTCAACACTCTTTACTTTGATCGGTGATAACTGCCTTAAAAGTTATGTTTTTCTTTAGTTTTTTTTTTTAAATTTAGTTTCCTTAATTTCCCTTTTTACATTTTTCAATTTAAATTCTTGCATAATTATACTCACGTTTAACCATGCATTCCAGTTGTGTTTTCTTTTAGTTTTGTAGCTATTTGGATGAAGAATTAAAGAAATTGGATGTGGGCGTTGAAACTTAAGTCACACACCAACTTGGATGTACGAATTTGATATGTAGATTAAGCCTTTGGACGCACAAAAACTTAGAAAAATGTGTTAGCAAGGGACGGGAAAGAGATACGGATATTGGCAGATAAAGGTGAAAGCTTGGAGAACAAGGGGATTGAAGCTTCAAGAAATTGGAAGAGAGACCTCTTTTGAGATTGTTCCTCAACTTTGTATTATTTTTTATGATTTATTATTAAACTTTTTATCAATGGTGATTTATGAAAACTATGCTGTGATATTATGTTAATATGAATAAGTTTATGTCTTGACATCGTTTTTAAATTTATTTATCTTGAATTGCTTGATCACCAATTTAAAATTATAAATATTTTTATAAACTTGAGAAAGGGAGTAAGAGTCATTAGCTTATGAATGCGATGCTATATAAATTGAATCCTAGAGTAAGACAAATATGAACTAAAGTATACTGAGAAATTAGGTACTTGACTTTATTTGAGTGACATAAAATGATTTTGAGAAAAACTTTAATGACATGATGATCCTATTATTATTTAATTGAATTGAATTTACTAACATGATTAAAGTTAGCATTTAACTCCATCCATTATTATATTTTTATATTGTTTTAGCATTTTATCTTTATTTCTTTTTGATATCATCCCTCTTAATTAAAAAAACCATCTTATTTTTATTATTTTTTCCTCAACATATAATTCTTAATTAAAATATATAGCTTTTATTACTAATATTATAATTTAACGTTAAAACAAATCAAAATATCAAAATCTAACATTTATAAATTCAATTATCTGTTATAAAAAAAAGTAATAAGTAAGTCATTTATGTCTCAAAAAATTTGAAAAGCAAATTTAAAATACAATATAATTTCAATAAATTATTTAAATTAATTTTTTAAAATATTTAACATTCGCTTTAAGCCTATATACTGGGCCGACCCAGAATCAGGTAAGTAATTGTCAAATTTAACGACTACATAAATTAAATTTGTGATGTTAACGTGTTAAACTAAATTAATAGATAATTTATAAATTAAGAGTTTCTTATTGCACCTAATCCTATTTCGTCCTTTAGCAGATCCAATTCTAATTAGAAGGAATTGAAATTTATGGACCACCGACATGAGAAATATCTATTATCCGATTAACTTTGTAATTTTTTATATTATAAAATTTCATTCAAAACTTATAATACATATATTATCTCAACTAATTATCTGTTTATTATTTATTAACCAACATCCTAATATTTATTTATAAAATTACGTACAAAACATACTATAATTATGCCTTGATGCTGTTAATTCTATTTTATGATTATTTTAATCCAACAAAGTTTCCACGTATATAGATATAGAAAAGCAAGTTTCATTATTCTAACAGCGTTTAGGAAAGGTAGTGGCTTTGATATTATTTTATATTGAAGGTTAAATAAATTTTCTATAAGTGCTTTGATTATCATGATGATGATACGACTTTAAAAACGTACCACGAGTAACATTTATTAGGAGAAAAGAAACAAAACCTGCTTCTCGTGTTCAAGATTTAATCCCAGAAATGGTGAACTAAAGAATAGCCAAATAGTGTGATCATGTAAATAGGTAGTTTAATACAGTTACTGTAGAGAGCTTCACAAAGCAAAGCTTCTTCCCTTTGAATAACAATAAAGAGTTCTTTTATATATATAATTTTAAAGGATAACTTTTAGTTCTTTTTTTCCCCTTTAAATTCTATTTTTAAAATGTATATTTGTAAAAAAATTTAAAATTATGTAATATTACATATTAAGTAATTTCTACTTTGACCTATAAATTAAGAAGAAATTTTATATTTTCTTACTATGAAATAATTATTACTATTAATTTTATATTGATAGATAGTAGGGTTAGTAGTTTATTTAGAAAAAATGTAAATATTTTTTAATTTTAAAAGAATAAGTATACAGGAGTAAGTACTTATATAGTTTTTTCTGGTTCTTCAAAAAGAAATATTAATAACACTGTTTCAAATATGTTATTTGTGAATAGTTAGTCTTTTGAAGAAAAAATATATTTATTTTAGATATTAATTATTTTTTAAAAATATTTAATTTTAAAAAAATTGACTAATTACAAAATGTGTAACAAAGAAAGTACGTAACAGAATGCATTGCAAGAATTTAAAAAATAAATAAATAAATATAATGCAAATGGTGCAAGTGCTTTAATTTTTGTCTTACTAATCTTTGTTACATGTATGTTCTATATATTCTTGCATGTTGTTTAAACGCTTCAACTGTTTAATATGTATTGTGAAGAGCTCAAACCATTACGATTTGTTGTTCTTCCTTCTGTCACATATTAGCTTCCTTCCTGTCTCTCAGTCATATTTGATTTGTCTTCGCATTCGTTGTCTTCTGCGAAGAACCAAACGTTAGTATCTAAGCGACCCTTGAATGATAAAGTTTAAACCGGTTCTTGTTGCATGCGTTAAAAGGTTATTTGGTATTTACATTGCAGAGCAAACTGTTCTTGAAACACATGGTGCATACGCAATTATCTTACAAATTAAACGTTATATATGTAGAAAGTAAAAAGTTTACATGTTAAGATAATTGCGTATTAAAATCTTCTTGATTATTTTGGTATAGTTTATCTTAAAAAGTTTCAAATCTTGGAAGTTAGCAAGCATCCCAAAGACTTGATTATTTTGGTCTGGTTTATTAATGTTTCATTTTGTTTTTCTTAAAACCTTCTTTTGGATGTTTGCTAGTATTAGATATATGCTTATTTGTTAGCCACATCTCAAGTTTAGCAAGCACCAACTTTTAGTTCTAAGAGAATGACAGTTTCACAGCCATTCCGTTGTTTTGAATAAGTTGGATTTTAGCACTAAGCTTCAAGCCCATTCTTTTTCTTTTGAAAGACTTGGTCCTTCGTGGAACGTTGGGTTGCTTATTCTACTTGATGATGACCCTTTTAGTTTTGCTTCGAAGTTTTTTAACGTTTAGGATAAAATTGTATCAGTGATTTTGTTGTTCTTTATGTTACAGAGTTTGAGCAGCAAAGAGAAGCTACAAAGAAGATGGAGGATTTCTGGAGCATTATTTGTGGGGATTTTGGTTGTTCTGGGACTGAAGGGAAGCCCTTCTGTTATGGTTTCAAGTTTTTGAAAGATCCTTCCACATGCATCAACCATTTGTTGGTTGTTTGTTTTGATGTGTTGCTATTGATCATGCTGTCATTCATCATGATCCAAAAGTCTCCATTTCGGGTTC